AAAAATTGGCGATCTGGCTCTATTTTATAGATATTTTTATGGACGATGCTCTTCTGAAATATCAACAATTATTCCTTCCTTGGCAGTCCCCGGGAGATTAACCCATCGAGTTGAGGTTTCGCACCCCTTTGTGGTTACTTTGGAGACCTGCAGAACATCAATTTTCAAAGACTTTTTCAACCAACGAACAGCGAGGCTCTGGAACACATTGCCAAAGGAGGCGTTCCCCGGGGCATATAACCTCCAGAAATTAAAGAAGAACACCAATTCCTACCTTATTCCTATACCTATAAAGCACAGATTTGACTTGTCCTGGAATACTGTTTCCATATTTGGAGTGCAGCACCCAAACATACCCTGAAACTTCTGGATTCTGTCCAAAAAAGGCCAATTCGTCTCATGGGTGATGCATCGCTCACAAATTCACTCACTTCTCTGGAACACCGTAGAAAAATTGGCGATCTGGCTCTATTTTATAGATATTTTTATGGACGATGCTCTTCTGAAATATCAACAATTGTACCTCCCTTGGCAGTCCCCGCGAGATTAACCCGTCGAGTTGAGGCTTCGAAACCCTTCGTGGTCACTTTGGAGACCTGCAGAACATCTCTTTCCAAAGACTCGTTCATCCAACGAACAGCGAGAAAGAAAGAACACCAATTCCTACCTTATTTCCCTTGGTTCTCACGATGTTCTCTGAACATTACAGGATATCCCTTCTGGTGGGAAAGGAACATAAAAAAAAATATCCATTGTAACTTGCTTCTCAACTGGGGTGTTCGGTTTATGCAATCGGCCCACTGACATAAGTTCTATCTAGCTAGACCGCTTGTGCTATGAGAAAGAAGCGGTGCCTTTTACGCGATCGAACTGGAGAACATTTAGGACTTAACATACAGCATGTCTCACTTTAAATTAAACGCCCCCCTCTATATCTCAGCTATTAGTCGTGCGATTCGTACCGAATTTTGACGGGGATGTCCCTTTTCGTGCAGGAACCAGAACATGAAATAGTATAGTACATAACAAGAGTTGTAAAACGCATATTACGCACGAAGTGGAGATAGTTACGATGCCGCATAGCGGCGGGTGTGTAACTCCACAAGTGCGTAATTGCTTTACAACTCGAGAATTGTACTATACTTCTTCTACGACTACACTATATTTTCTTCCGGATAGTGCAGATATTGTATTGAGGCACAAATAACGAATACCAATATAAAACGTCTCCCGTCACTAAGCCAGCTGCATGAAAAGTTTCAAATCACAATTCTTGTGTTTGTTTATTGATACATTGCATACCGAGACATTTTCCTGAATTCGAACTGAAATGGAGCCGTTTTTCATATCTAAACAGCTTTATTAATAGGTAGCAAAAAACACATTGCATAAAAATATAAAATTAGCATTCATAATGGTGATTTATTTGTAACAGTGCAGCACGAGAGTTTCTGTAACCGTTATTAAGAATAATAAAAAAAAGTTCTCCAGCTGCGCTCTGAACCACCGTCCTTTGAGTTCGGAGCCAGCGCTTCTAACAACTGAGCTATCAACATTACTTGCTAAAAATTGATATTTTATAAATATGATTTCGAATACTGAACTTTTCTAATTATTATTCTTGTTATTAAAAAATAAGGAATTCATCAATTCAATGATGAGTATGTATGTTATTTGAAAAATTACCTTCATGAATAAATATTCATCATCGGGAGCATTCTGCAGAAAATAATTGATCTGTTCAGCATTAAGTATTTTTGATTGTAACATGGAATATATCGACCAGAGTGATGATGATTTCATCGAATTTGATAATTCTCGAAAATATACTAAAAGGATATTTTCCGAAAATGACACAGTATTATTTCTAATTCTCCAGTCCAGTAATTTTTGATGTGCTATTTCGTATCATTCACGAGACTTAGCGGGTAGCAACTCATTTTTTACCATTCTAGCTTTTTCCAACATTTCTGGTGGTATAGAAATAATCTGCTCATCGTCATCGCTTGACATCATTTTTTTCAACTGAAATTGAGGATTATCAATAGGAAATAATCATATTTTCAAAAAATATAACTTACCTGATGATTTCGGTTTCGGTGGATAGCTGGATTGATTGATAAAAAGATAAGTACCTACCCACCTAGCTAGTGACATTAATGAAATTGTTAATTGTTATTGACACATCGCCTAAGCAACAAAACAAAGTCATCTATCAACATACCTATGAAAACCGTGCGATCGCTCTCTTTACGCACACGTGTGTAAGGAGAAGCTTACTGCCATTGTTTTGTGTACAATATCCATCACTTACAGTAGTTAGAGTCCCTGTATGTATAATTCCCTGTATATATTTGTCAGTTTTGTTGTAATAAGAGTACGGACACTATGACAAGCAGTGACGGAAGGCATAACCCCAAATTCTCAAAATGACTTTTGAACAAAGACATGGATATGCTTTTCCATGCACTTCGGATCTTCTATCCTCTACTGCCGCGGTGAAGGGTACATCCATATATCTTTCTCTGTCTTTATTCCCATAAAGAAGTGGCGTCTCATCTCACTGGCGAAAAGGGGTCATAGTTTGTAAATCAATTTGTTGAAAGTATTTCTCGATATACTTAACAAAGGGTATATGTACTTCAATTTATATGATTTTAGGATGCACTAGTTTTTCAATAGGTAGAGTCAGGATTTAGTAGCCAGTTCTGATGGGCAGAATGTAAATGAATGGGAAGAACAATTCAACCATAATTAACAAACTTATATTTGTTCTCATAACATACTAAGACACTTCATAGGGCATGAACGATCAGAAAATTCGACAAATACAAGTATAATGATTATAATTCAAGAATAGTATATCCTATGACAAGAATACAAAATTTCAAATAATGGTAGAGTAAAGTGGGGTAATATGGCAACATAAAATTTAAATGCTCACAATCTAATAACCATCGCGCCTAGCTGAAAGACGATGGCTGCACGTTAGAGCTTACACAATATATTTTTGTGACCAGAGTCGCTCGTTGCCATTTTTCCACACAGCAAAAGATCACAAGTAAAAATGCATAGTAATATCATATTGCCATATTACCCCATACCAAGGGTAATATGGCATCACAGGTTGGGTAATATGGCAACATGCTATTCTCGTAAGAAATAAACTATTTTATGAAATTGAAAAAAAAACTAGCTTTTACAACATAACAGTATAAATTATCAAATTTTATGTCTCAGAGCTGTAGAGGTACTTGGTACTTGATCTGGAACACAATCTGCACAATGAATCATATTCGATGGTGACTTGAGTCGATTCAAAATTGCGTGTATTCCTGCATTAGCAGTTTCCTCACACTCTTCCAAAGATTTTTGATGAGATAGTTGAAGATCTAAAATTATTTCCTTATAATAGTTGTGAATATTCGTAACTTGCAGTCTTGTTTCAGAATCTCTTTGCTTCAAGCTATTTTTCAAATGTTCGTCCTTTTCTTTGATTTTTTTTTCTGTATCTTTCATCATTAACTATTGATAAATTTTGAATTTCGGCATATCTTCTCTCTAAATCTTCGATTATTTCTTGTTTGTGATCCAAAATACATTTAATTTCATCTTGGTATTCTACACGAATTTTTCCTCGTAAAAATTGTCCTGAATTCGATGAGGAATGTCATCGATAATCCTTCTGATGATGGAATGAAGGCTTTGCATTTTCTTTCAATTTGATGGTATGTTCCACTATGAAATCTTCACATTTGAAGTGCACCTATAATGTTAAAATTGAAATTATAAATGATATTATTCCTTCGAATATGCATCATATTCAGTCGAAAAATTCAAATATTGAGTACTTACTTCGCAAATCTTGCTACCTCTGAATTCAATTTCCATAGTGGCCGCTTCATATTTTCTTTCCATTTCTGTAACTGTTGTTGGTTAGAATGGGGAGAATGGAATAAATGAAAGGACTCGCTTCCATTTTTGCAATTCTCCACTACACAATTAGACATTTTGATTTTTGAAAACCTGAATTTTCAAATAATTTAATGTCATGTACGTTCATGAACTGTCAGTGCCCGCCAAATTGTTCATGTCATTTCAATCAATTTTTTTAGGGTTATGCCTTCTGTCACTGCTTGTCATAGTGTCCGTACTCTTATAGGTCGCGTGCAAGAACTGTCAGATGACCGACCCTGGAGGCAAAACATATTTGTTTACAAGTGATCGAAATAGTTTTCCACAATTATTTTGGCATATGAATCGTATATTTCCGCTATTCATCAATTCGCTAATGCCATCACATTGTGCTGTTGTAAAATGCACAAAAACTGCAGCGGAAGATGAAGAAATCCAGATGGTACATTATGATTCGAAAGTAAGTACCTTCTATAGTCACTCACATAGTTTTCATTTTTGAAATTTGGTTATTTCTCTGATTTCTCATCGGAATTCCTTCTGCAATAGGATCAGCTAATAGAAATATACCTACCTGAAATTTCTAGAATAATGCAAGAAGATTGGATTCATGCAATCAATCGGTAGGACTGGTCTGACATGCTGACGATCGTGTGTGTTGTAGACATTTTCAATCTATTAGCAGCATTAGCTTGTATTGCAGAAGTGGCAGAAGGCAGAAGGAATTTTAATAAGGAATGACAACATTTCATAATGCTAACTATGTGAGATTACTATTTACCTGAAAAATCATATTCCCTAGTCTCTTGCTGCATTTTTTGTGCATTGTACAACAGCACAATGCGAAGGCATGCTTGAAATGCTTGAATTAATGAATAACGCAAGAAACACGATTCGTATGCCAAAATATTGTGAAAAACTATTTCAACCTTTTGATTCCTCTGTAACCAAATAAAAAAGTGAGGTTGTGTTTCAATATTTTGCCTCCAGGGTCGGTCTTCGTGCACGCGACCTATTACAGCAAAAGTGTCAAATACATTCAGGGACTCTAACAGTAGTAGTCGTAGGAAAAAAAGACTACTCACCCCTCGGACTGGCAGGGCAGCTGTTGGCCGCGCTGATCGTCCCCGTGGGCGAGGGAAAGGGACTGCCATACTCGGCGTCGGGGATGGTGATGCGCAGCGGGGGCAGTGCCGAGCCGCCGCCAGCGCGGTCCCGAGTGCGCCCCGGAGACGCCTCGAGCAGCTCGGGCGGCGGATCCTCCGAGCTGTCGTCGACCAGCGAGCGGAACGACAGCCTGATGTTGGTGCTCGGGAAGCGAAACGTGCACCTGCGAAAACATTAGACAACGAATTTTATAAATACTGTCTGTAGGTTAATCGAGGAGGTGGTATATTCATTATTCCAAATTTTTTGGGATTTTCTCTCCTCGTTTCTATAAAATAAAAATATGAATATTATTTCAATATACGTGTAGTAAGGACAAATCAGATGATTTGCCCCAAAATGTCACTGCGTTTAAAGAATTTTTCTATCAGAGAGCCTAAAAGAAAAATTCACTAGCTTGTCAGTGACAATTTGTATTGAAAAATTTTTGGAGAAGAGAAATAAAGGTATATGTTGAAAACGGGAGCAGAATCGGTTCCGAAACGTCCAAAGATAAGTGAAAATTTGATATTTTTTCTATATACCTTTATTTCTCTTCTCCAAAAATTTTTCAATACAAATTGTCACTGACAAGCTAGTGAATTTTTCTTTTAGGCTCTCTGATAGGAAAATTCTTTAAACGCAGTGACATTTTGGGGCAAATCATCTGATTTGTCCTTACTACACGTATATTGAAATAATATTCATATTTTTATTTTATAGAAACGAGGAGAGAAAATCCCAAAAAATTTGGAATAACGAAAGAATTTTATAGCGAATTTCATTCGTAAACCTGGTGGTGCACTGGTTTTGCACCAGTTTTGCATCCGCACTACGTTAGTTCTCTCCAAAATGTGAACTGGTGCATTCCCAATGGAATACGAAATAATATAATAAAATTTCATTGTTGGAGGTTAAATCGGATAAATTGGTATGTCTGTTTATAAATTGTCCGTATCCTGAAATTCTTCCTTGACTTAAATCAAAAACAAAGTAGATGTTTCATGAAAATAATTTTGAGCAGTTTTCTTAATAAGTACCTCTTCATCAATGAATTAGTGCAAAACACTCAACAAAATTGTGAGTTCTGGGAAGTAAATCTCCTTCATTTTCTTGAAACCTCCAAATTTTCATACTACTTGATGATGACGATTAGATCGCTGTTCAATTTTGGTTTTCAAACTATGCATATTCAATGTTTCCGCCATTTTCAAAACTGCACTGACTTCGCACGACCTATTAGAGCTCGTGCGAGAATTGTTGCACTGAGCCCTAAACTATATGTGCGCCAGTTTTCCAATGGAATTCAAAACCCTCGCTCGGAATGGTATATTGTGAAAACTTCACAAACGATAAGATTTCCACAAAATTCTCCAACACACGACATGTTTCGCTAACACAGTAGCTTCGTCAGGTGATATACTGGTACGATGAACTAAACTAACATTGGCTTGTTTATACAGTGTGACCCACTTCTAATGGAAACACCCCTGTATCTTACGTAATCGTTGGGTGAGGATCCTGAAATTTGCTGGAGCGAGAGATGTACCAAAATAGCACTCTATGACCAAGTGGGGTCATCTTCAGTGATATACACTGCTCGCCAACAGCCATGGAACCACCCCAATTTCCGGAAAATGATATCAGGAGTCAAAATAGATCGAAAATCACTTCAGATTCGGAATCAGGACGCCCAATTCACTAACTATTCCTATTTTTTCTGGAAAATTTTCAGTTCTGAAAAATTGAATTTTGTTGTACTTCTGACGGCAGCATCCCCGTATCTTACGTAATTGACTTTATCTTTGGACTTCCCCTTCCTCCTGCAAATTTCAGAACCCTACCTCAATAATTAAGTGAAATACGGGGGTGCTTCCATGAGAAGTGAGACAACATTTAATTTCTTTGAACCAAAAATTTTCAAAGGAAACTATGAAAAGTTAGTGAATTGGGCGTCCTGATTCCGAATCCGTAGTGATTTTCAACCTATTTCGACTCCTAATATCATTTTCTGGATATTGGGGTGGTTCCATGGCTGTTGGCGAGCAGTGTATATCACTGGAGATGACCCCACTTGGTCATAGAGTGCATTTTTGGTATATCTCTCGCTCCAGCAAATTTCAGGATCCTAACCCAACGATTACGTAAGATACAGGGGTGTTTCCATTAGAAGTGGGTCACACTGTATATCCTACTTTCCCAACTTGAAGGATTGCTTACCTATGGACAGGTTCGATAAACCTCCATTTTCGGAAATTTGGCACAATATCTACATTAAAATACGGTGTATCGGACTAGCTTGAAAGGGTTGATATCAAATATACGAAGCACTGGAAGGGACACATAAAATAAAAAAAAAACTCTTCAAAATTCCGACATATAACTCGGAATTTTAAAATTCCGACATATAACTCGGAATTTTAAAATTCCGTGTTATAACTCGGAATATTGGATGTAAAATTCCGAGTTATAACTCGGAATTTTAAAATTCCGAGATGTAAGTCGGAATTTTGATGTAAAATTCCGAGTTATAAGTCGGAATTTTAAAATTCCGAGATATAAGTCGGAATTTTACATCCAATATTCCGAGTTATAACACGGAATTTTACATCCAATATTCTGAGTTATAACTCGGAATTTTGAAGAGTTTTTATTTTTTTTTATTTTATGTGTCCCTTCCAGGGCTTCGTAGAATTTTGATGTAAAATTCCGAGTTATAACTCGGAATTTTGAAGAGTTTTTTTTTTATTTTATGTGTCCCTTCCAGGCCTTCGTACAAATATATATTATTACTCACTAAGAAAATAAATTCAACAGTGGTGAACTATTGAAGTCTAATTGATCGTTAAGTAAAATGTCAGAATTTTTGAGTTTGTTGATTACTATTGATTCAAAATTGAGTTTTATTCATTTATTTTCTACGTGTAGAATTTCGAAATTATCATAAAAATTATGGTTTTCTTCTAATATTGTTCTAAGGTATATATCGGTCAGACAGGTCGTACGTTTAATCAGCGGATTCATGAACATAAGATGAGTTTTTTTGAAAAAGAAAACAAATTCAACATACGCCAACCATATATTAAAAGAGAACCATAGTTTTGATGATAATTTCGAAATTCTACACGTAGAAAATAAAGAAATGAAACTCAATCATTTTGAATCATTAGAAATCAACAAACTCGAAAATTCTGACATTTTACTAACGATCAATTAGACCTCAATAGTTCCCCACTGTTGAATTTATTTTCTTAGTTAGTAATGATATGTATTTGATATCAACCCTTTCAAGTTAATACGGTACACCGTATTTCAATGTAGATATTGTGCCTAATTTCCGAAAATAGAGGTTTATCGAACCTGTCCACAGGTAACTAATGCTTCAGGTTGGGAAAGTAGGATATATAAGCAAGCCAATGTTAGTTAAGTTCATCGTACCAGTATATCACCTGACGAAGATACTGTGTTAGCGAAACATGTCGTGTGTTTGAGAATTTTGTGGAAATCTTATTGTTTGTGAAGTTTTTACATTTGCCATGTTTCATTTCCACCAAGTAACGGCCGAGTCAATAAAAAAAGGAAAGAATGGTATATTGTTTTTTCGCCTCTACAAAAAAAAACACATTTTACGTTCAAATTTCCGAATGAAAAACAGAATATTTCTGAAGGCAAGTAGTTTTCGTCCGCAGACACTAACTTTTTGTCCGCAAACACTTTTCGTCCGCTGCAGGGTTGCCAGTTCTACTGAATTTTCAGTAGATCTTCTGATTTTCATATTGATCTATTGTAACATTCCATAACCTACTGAAAAAATATTTCAACCCTTCCTATATTATTATCAATCTTTAGTTTCACATACACTTGCATGATATTTCGGTACGCTCAGTTCAAAATAATTTTACAAAATAAGTAATAAACTTAAATATTGGTATACTAATGATATGTATAAACCAAAAAAGGACAATACTTTGTCTGACTCTGATCAAATTCAATTTTCTATTTACCTCTGTTATAAAAGTTTGTTTCTCAGGTTTAATTTTGTTATTTGTTTTGTATTTTTGTTGTTCATTTTTACTATTCGTTACTTTTTTTATATTTTCAAATCTCCTACCTATGTAACTGTATTTTGTAATATTTGTGAGTATTTTCAAATTGAGAATTAGGAATATGATTATTTTTTGAAGGAAATGTTTGTTTTGTTTGTTATTTTGTCGGAAATAAAGAATAAACTTTTCTGTTTACTAAAAGTACCTAATGTTTTGACGTTATAGGTGTATTTCATTATCCTTTCTTGGAATTCGTATAGCATCAAATAGATATGAATTTTTGACAAGGTATTAACTGATAAAATAAAAATCGAACTGGCAACCCTGGTCCGCGCAGAGAGTGAGTTGACAGCAACTGTCATTTGCTGTTGTTAAATTAATTATTCACGAAATCCGATAGATTTCACGTGTGAATAGGACCCTGATGTGGATATGAATGTTTGAGGTCGACGAAATAAAAAATAATATGCACCTCGGCGAAAAACTGTCTATTGTCTCGCCTGATTGATAGCCTCGGCTATCAATTTGCAGACTCGACTATAATAGAGAGTTTCCCGTCCTTGAGACATAAATAACTATTTTCTATGGCTGTTGAAAACTGGACCCTTTCCATGTTACATTTTTGTTGGGTAACTGAATGCATTACACAAAACAAGCCACTCCTCGTGTGTAAGAGCATTTATACAACACTGCCACAAAGTAGATTCATTACCTACAAAATATTGACACCAGTTGTACAAAATTGAAATGGAATATAAGGGGAAAGGGGCATGCAGTGAAACAAATGAACAAAAAGATTGATTTCATTTTGTTCCTTGTTTTCTTCAAGAATCCAAAAGCATCACAACAAAATAGGTAATTTTTGAAAAACAACCTGAAACTACTGATTGAAAAAAATTGATAAATACATATATATGCAACTTATAACCTATTCAGAATCTGCATTAGAGGATTTGAGTAGCTTCAAAGCTCGCAATTTTCTAAAAAATGGCAGCAATTTTAATTGCGCGCCTACGCACCAGAATAATTGCATCAAAATTCTGATTGAAATGTCAAGTTTACTTTGACAAAAAAGCTCTAGTGTAATGGGCTTATATCACAAACAATTTTTATTTCATAATTCGATAGAACTCACTCA